GAAAGTTTTCTTATAAAACAAGATTTTCTATATAAGACAAGAATGTCTCATCTAGAATATCAAAACGATTTTATATGGAAAACTGGAAGAAGTTCTTATATGAGACCAAAAGTTTTTCTTATAGAAAACCAAAATTTATTCCTATAGAAGATCAGATGGACTTCATATAGAAAACCAGATATTCTTTTAGAATATACGCCCAAACATGTTTCTTATAAAATACCTATAAGGTCCTCTTATAGAATATTAGAGGGTATTCTATGTAAGACCTGAATGTCTCTTCTAGCATATCAGAAGGATTTTTATAGACGACTAGAAGAACTTCCAATACCAAATAATATTAACCAAAAGTTATTCCCAGAAGACCATTAGGTCTTCCTATAGAAGACCATCAGGTCTACCTGATAAGACCAGAAAATGATCATTGTGGTCTTCATATACAAGACCACAATGTCTTCTAATGGAAGACTACAATGTCTTATCGAAAAACCAAACGATTTACTGACCGAAGACCAAAGCCACGCAAAGACCTTCTTTATACTCTGAGAAAATTAAATACCAATTTGCAAAACTGGACTTGGAACTTCAAGACATCGAATTTTCTGTTTTCCTTGGAGTGAGAGCTATTTAAAAACATGGACCTATATTGAAATATATCTAAAAATTAGATTATTGTTATGTATCAGGAATTCAGAATGTCAAATTACAGCTACTTTGGTGCTGAGACCATAAATATAACGAAAAGGGCGTGGAACTATTTTATGAAGGCTATGTCAAAACTTAAACCCATATTAAAATTGTTATTTCAAATATGTGTTTGGCCCTCCAAAAACCCGGAATATTATACGGGATCTATGTGAAAATATGAATCTTTATTAAATATTTTCTGAAAAAAGATTTATATCAGTCTCCATTTCATTGGGAAAATTTGGCTAAAACCTTCAAAATATTTTTCACCCTTCAAAATCCCGGAATGTCAAACTTCTCCCGTTTCGTTGGAAAACTGCATTTCAAAATGACGAAAATAGCCGGTTTCTTTATATAGAGGACTAGACCAAAAATGCATGGACATGGTTCAATCGAAATAGAATTTTATTATCATCAGGTATATATATACATGATGGGCTCTTTGAGGAATCCTAATGGAGAATAGTATAACAGCTAAGACTGAGAAAGTGATTTTATATTGGATTTTCCGAGACAGCTTATTTTTAAAGTTGCAAGGGATTTCTGACTGAAGTCTACAAAAAAATTATTTTTGAAGGCCTTCCTAAAATATCCCAAATATATTTTAACAAAACAGACGAATGGTGAATAAAAAAAACCTGTCAATGATAAAAAAAAAAATATTTTTTTAAAATATTTAATATTTTGCCTTTGTTTCAATGATACCTTTTACTACTTTGCAATTCGGACCATTAAATTGTTGTATTGCAAAATGGTGTATTTCTTTTGTAATATTAAAATTTTTAAGAAAAATTGCCTCCTAAACAATGACTTGGAAATAGCAAGTACAAAAGTCCTATCAGTTAAGATCTGCCCACAAAAAAGCATACAAATAAAATAAAACAACAAAAAAGAAATAAAAAGAGCTTTGTAATGGCTATCCGACAGGCAACGCCTCTAAATGACCTCTTGAACTGAACTACTTTTATTCAAGTGAACAATACACTTTAATGCCAACAGAAAAAAAAACAAAAACACCAGGAACACCATTACCATTAAGCTATACGCCATTTGAAAATATCATGCGATGTGGTAGTAGAGAATTTTATGTTGGTTTTACTTAGCCAATACATTAAAAAAGTTCAAAATTTAGATACAAATCGGTAGATATAGATTAACAACAAAACCTGCACCACTGACTATTTGGTCAGTGCAGGTATTTTTTTGGGTGTAGATTTTGAAATTGGTCCAAGAAAACCATGTAATATTTGTAACATTTAAACAGGAACAGCCAACATGTACCACGTTCTCCCAACATTCACTTCCAAAAAAATGACAAAAACCGTTGACCCCAATTGTAGCGGTGATTTGGCCAAGTTATGACAGCTAATGGAATTGTTACAATTGGTCTTGAACAGTCTGAAACGCCTGCGGAGTTTTTTTTTTTTTTTTTTTTGTTTGACAGTTCGACAATGACATTTAATTTATGTGGTTTTGTTTTATTGTGTTTATATTCATTTATAATTAGCCAGGTTTTGTTGTTGTTGCTACAGAGTTTGGGTTTTTTTATTCGGTCATATGAAAAATTGCCAAGTCATTAAGTAGAGGTTTTAATTTTATTTGATATTTAATACAAATTTGCAAAATAAGAAACAATAATATTTTGTAAAGTCATTTGCTACAACCACAATGATATTTTTTTACAATAAAATATTATAGTGGACCAATACAGACGTGGATTTTTTAACGAATATTTTTTTCCAAGGTCATCTGAGGAGTGGATTTTTTTAAAGATTTTTTTTTTCCAAGACCATCTTAGGTGTGGATTTTTTTAAAGAATATTTTCTCCAAGACCATCTAAGGTGTGGATTTTTTAAAGAATATTTTTTTCCAAGACCCGCCTTATATGGTCGTTGAAAAAATATTATTTAAAAAATCCACGCCTTATATGGTCGTTGAAAAAATATTCTTTAAAAAATCCACGCCTTATATGGTCGTTGAAAAAATATTCTTTAAAAAATCCACGCCTTATATGGTCGTTGAAAAAATATTCTTTAAAAAATCCACGCCTTATATGGTCGTTGAAAAAATATTCTTTAAAAAATCCACGCCTTATATGGTCGTTGAAAAAATATTCTTTAAAAAATCCACGCCTTATATGGTCGTTGAAAAAATATTCTTTAAAAAATCCACGCCTTATATGGTCGTTGAAAAAATATTCTTTAAAAAATCCACGCCTTATATGGTCGTTGAAAAAATATTCTTTAAAAAATCCACGCCTTATATGGATGCTATAAAAAATCCACGTATATATAAAATCGTCGCCTAGAATTGTCAAAAAAATATTCTTGGAGTGATCTTTTGATCCTTCTTTTAATTTTACTGTTCAACTTTTTCAAAAATTTATTCGCATAAGAATTTTTAAATTTTGGTTTTTTAAGAATAAAGGAAATATTCCAAATGAAAATTAGCATTGTGGATGAACAACATGCCAGCCGGCAATTGATCCGCCCATAACTCTGAACATCATATCCGCATCCTCAGGATCCAAAAGTTCACCATTGCACTCTTCCAGCTTAAGATAGGCCGTGGCCATGGATTTCATGTGATCTACGACACATTCAATATCTTCATCAATATCGCCGCTGGGAGCACAGTCGGGAATTGGAGCTCCTTTGCATTCGGCACGGGACATTGCATTTGATTTTGCGTAGAGATCTTCCAGAACACCTGCTACACCATTTAGAACATCCAGTTTGAATTTTAGCAAGACATGGTTGTTCATGCTTAGCCAACATTTTCTTTTGTCATCGAAGGCCTCAAGACTTTGAAGCATTTTTTTGCCAGCGCATCCATTGCACTTACCCGCAGAGGCCGCCAATCCGCAGCTAATGAGCGAAAGAGCTGGTAAGAAAGGAAAATTAGAATTATATTTTACATTTTCAAAACTTTGTTCAACTCAAAAATTACCTCCGATTACAAAAAGCGCCTTCTTGCTGAACATGTTGGAAATTTCTTGTTTCGAAAGTGTTGTGAATTAAATCGGCTAACTTACTTCGTCTTTATAGTCTGAAACTGAGGTGTTCATTTTCTATGCAAAATGTATTTGACCTTGAACTTGAAATTAGGCCTCTATTGTCAAGTCGTTTATTTACTCTTCGTGTCGATTTACAAATTCTAGGCAATACCGAGAACCACAATGCAAATATTATTGAAATATTAAATTTAGGTAAATATCTCTAAGTCTGATTAAATTTTCAATTATTTGTCTGCATATGGAAATACCCGGACTTTGTTTCAAATATAGAAGTCAAACTACGCATGTCTGTTTTTGCAAATATAATTTTATTTTCTATAATGACACCCTACATCAAGTCAATTGCGGAAATTGAATTATCACAGCTATAGGCGTGGATTTTTAAAGAATATTTCTGAGAGAATTATCAAAGCCTCAGGCTTGGATTTTTAAAGAATATTTCTGAGAGAATTATCCCAGCCTTAGGCGTGGATATCTAAGGAATTTTTCTGGTAGAATTATCACAGCCTCAGGGTTGGATTTTTAAAGAATATTTCTGAGAGAATTATCACAGCCTTAGGCGTGGATATCTAAGGAATTTTTCTGGGAGAATTATCACAGCCTCAGGCTTGGATTTTTAAAGAATATTTCTGAGAGAATTATCACAGCCTTAGGCGTGGATATCTAAGGAATTTTTCTGGGAGAATTATCACAGCCTCAGGCTTGGATTTTTAAAGAATATTTCTGAGAGAATTATCACAGCCTTAGGCGTGGATATCTAAGGAATTTTTCTGGGAGAATTATCACAGCCTCACAGAATATTTCTGAGAGAATTATCACAGCCTTAGGCGTGGATATCTAGGGATTTTTTCTGGGAGAATTATCACAGCCTCACAGAATATTTCTGAGAGAATTATCCCAGCCTCAGGCGTGGATATCTAAGGAATTTTTCTGGGAGAATTATCACAGCCTCAGGCTTGGATTTTTAAAGAATATTTCTGAGAGAATTATCACAGCCTAAGGCGTGGATATCTAAGGAATTTTTCTGGGAGAATTATCACAGCCTCGGGCTTGAATTTCTAAAGAAGAATTTCTTACTCCACATTATATGGTGTTTGATGTTCGAAGTCACCCACCCAAACTTATTTATTTACTCTAATATTTTCTTTTAATAATTGAAATGAAAAAAACACCTGCTGAAATATCAAACACATTTCGTATTTTAGTACTTTCCAGACATTTGAAGTGACAAAGTGTTAAAACAACATTCGATTCGGATCATTTGTGTAAAAAAGTTTCCCACAAGGCGTCTTTCAAGATGCAGAGGTCATCAATTGTCTTATTCATATCCCTCGTCACCTGCGCCTGGGCCATATACCGCCCTCCCGTACCCGCTGCACAGAAACGTTTGGTTTGCTACTATGACTCGGCCAGCTTCGTCAAGGAGACTCTGGCCAAAATGGTCATCGAAGATTTGGAACCGGCCTTTCAATTTTGCACCCACATTATCTATGGATTTGCCGGCATTGAACGTGACACCTTTAAGGCGAAAAGTTTAAATGAAAATTTAGATTTGGATTTGGGTAAGGGACTTTATCGTAAAGTGACTCGTCTCAAGCGTAAATACCCGAATGTTAAGGTAATGCTAAGTGTTGGTGGCGATCGTGATGTGGATGTGGGTGCGGGTGATTTGCCGAATAAATATTTGGAACTCTTGGAATCGGCAATTGGGCGCCAACGTTTCATACGCACCATTTACGCTCTGATTAAAAGCTATGGATTTGATGGTGTCGATGTGGCCTTTCAATTTCCCAAAAATAAACCCAAAAAGATCCATGGAGTTTTTGGCAGCATTTGGAAGCGGATTAAGAAAACCTTTTCGGGAAATTCTGATGTTGATCCAAATTCTGAGAAACACAAGGAGCAATTTTCTGCCCTGATTCGGGAATTGAAGAGTGAATTACGTACCGATAACTATTCGGTTTCCATTACCGTTTTGCCGAGTGTTAATTCAACGAAGTTCTTTGATATTCCGCTATTGGATAGCTATGTTGATTTTGTAAACTTGGCTACATTTGATTTCTACACACCCGAACGTAATCCCAAGGAAGCGGATATAACAGCTTCCCTATATCCTTTGACTGGTCGTAACCCCGAATTCAGTGTTGATTCAGTGGTCCAGACATGGTTGAGTAAAGGCTTTCCAAGTCAAAAACTAAATTTAGGTATTAGTACTTATGGTCGAGCTTGGAAAATGACAACGGATTCGGGAGATTCTTGGGTACCACCCATTAAAGATGTTGAAAATGAAGCTCCCTTGGGAGAGAATACTCAACTTCAGGGTTTATATAGTTTTCAGGAGGTATGCAGTATGTTACCAAATTCTAATAATATGTATGTGAAGGAGGGTCCCAATGCTCCTCTGAAGAAAGTTTTGGCTGATCCTGCTCGTTGTAATAGTGTCTATGCTTTCCGCCTTGCTGACAAAAAGAAAAATATAAATGGCCTTTGGATTTCATATGAAGATCCGGATACAGCAGCAACGAAGACGGCTTATTCGAAAAATTTGCATTTGGGCGGAGTTGCACTATTCAATTTGGAACTGGACGATTTCCGTGGTTTGTGTATTGGCGAGAAATATCCCATTTTGAGAGCTATTAAATATCGTTTACTTCATTAACATGAATATTTTGATTTGATAGTTTATATTTTTTTGAATTGATTTAAAGAGTTCGAATATAATAAATTTTGAATTGCATGAAGAATGAATTTCTTTTTTTGGTTTTCTAGAAAATAATAAAACGGGTAAAACATGGGAAAGTCGTGCGGAACCATTTCATAACCACCATTAAGTTATGGATATATATACTAAAAATGTTATGGATAATATAACTAAAATCGGTTGGCAGAAGATCGAACCTGTACAATTTTTATCCTGTGAGAAAAATAGGTTACAAAATTACAGGTTAGAATGTTCGGTTGGTACAGATAGAAAAGGGCGGAGCCATTATATGTGTGTTATGTCAATTCATGGTCCTATATAGAAAATGTTGTGAAAATAACTTGATCCGAGTTTCGGCTTCCCACTTTCGAAGATCGAAGGTTGAACTGTTTCTCAATCGGTCTCATCCCCTTCATTTACACAGGCTGGGAGAAGGATTTGCTTTTTTTAGGAACAACACAAAATTCGTTGCAGGCACGTACTGAGGTTATCCTTATTCGGCATCTTGGTATAGTTTTCGAGAGGGATAATCACTGTGAGGTAGTTTTGATTCATATAGGAACATCTACCTCTAGATTCGCGGCAGATATGCTGCCTGGTTTTTGCTTTAATTGCTTATTCACCAACTTAGTATAAGTCTCGACAGGAGTAACTTCTGTATGTGAGTTGTGAATTCTGTCGACTAAACGTTCCAATGAATCCTGGTTGAGATTTTCGGACTCTTTCGTACTTTCACATTCCCTAAGGAAGGAATTCCAACGGTATAAATCTCGACCGGAGTAACCACTGTACGTGAGGTGGGAATTTTGCCTACTAGGCAGATTTCCGGACTCTTTTGTACTTCTGCTCTCCCTAAGGAAGGCATTTCAACTGTAGGTATTTCTTCTAGGCTATTGTGTTGGGATTTTTTACAGGATAACCGATTTCCTTTGACAATCCTTACCAGGATTGTGCATCTTTGATTTTCCCGCTTTTGGTTGCTACTATCCGCAATGGGGTTTCCAAAGTAACTTGGAACTACCACTCGTAACTCCTTTCTACGCTGTAGCAGTCGGCCTCTATCGTCTCAAATATCGACTTGAAGGATTTCCAGACATAAGCGGAATGTGGTATACTCCTCAATTTGGCTGAAGATGGACCCACTATGTCTAGTAATCCTGTCATTACGCCGTTCTCATCCGCACTTTTTCTATGATGGCAGGTACTGGAGGCCACGTTTTTGTTACTTCAAGCGTTGGCATGTCTACCGTTGTGGCGATGGGGACTGATCGTGCCTTCGAGTAAGTGGAGGACATAACGTCGACCATAACATATACCTTCACTTGGTCTTAGTTACTACCCCAAGACAAGTTAAACTGGGCTCCGTTCGAATACATTCTTTACCCTGACAGCAAACCACTTAACACAGATAGGCACGAGGTCGTGTAACATCTCTCGTGTTAAGGGTTGGAGACTAGAAGCTCATGATTAGAGATTAAATTAGGAGCGCCAACATTCCCATCATGATCACAAGATTCACGTAACCCTTGGACAATCTAAAAATTCCAATTCCAAAGCTCTATATTTATAAGTCTGAAAATTTATAAATCAAATTCTACCCAGATCAGAACCATCATAAGAACTGGTTACCTGAGAGGCTGAAAGAGGTTAGCTAGGACCAAGGGTCCTTAGACCAAATCCGTATCACACAATGTGTCAGTTAATTCGCATCGTAATATGTATTTCATATAACGAGAGGGAATCTCCTTTTGATGCCTATCCCACAAAATAGCCAAACAAATTATAATACCATGCGAACGGGTGAACCGACATTTACCCAAAATAATAATTTTACCAAACATATATCTTGTCTGATAAAGTGATAAATTGCTGCCATGTGAAAATAAAATGTCATAATACCAACACTCAAGGTGGAAAGTTGGGCTATGACCTGGAAAAAATGCGAGATGTTTGTGTATGACCTACATAGAAGCATCACAATATACTAGATGATAAAAAATGCTATTCAATATTTATTGACCATTTATTGAAAATTAAAAAAAAATACAAATCCTCCAAAAAAGTTATTCAAAATATATGTGTTTATCTTAACAATCCGGATGCATTGTACCCCAGGCAACAAAGGAACCAAATAAAAGTTTTCTCGTCACAGTAAATATGCGAGATTTAATCACTTTTCCATGGCATGTCTCCTGCTCGCAATATTCACCAACAACAGTTTTCAAATTTTTCATTAAACATTCCGAACCAGTATCCGCATCCGTTATATCACACTTCTCCACCTCAACATCCTTTTTACATTCATCAGCAACTACTTCATTATTATTTTCGATCACCATTTTGAAATCATCCACCAAGGCAATTAGATTCCATAATTTCAATTTCAAAATGACATTATGATGTTTATCGAACCAACATTTCCGTTTTTGATTGAATTTTTCTATCAACTCCATCATCGAGTTGCAAGTGCAGCCTTTACATGTTGGTGTGGCGGTTTCCGATTTGGCAGCAGTTATTGGGGATGCTTTGATGGCAATAATTACCAATAGGGCTGAAAAAGGGGATTACACATATTTTGTATATTTTTTAAATATTGGGGACTAAATAGAGTATATTACCAGCTAATCCCAGACACACTTTGTTGTGAAACATTTTTGTATAACTAACTTCAAAAATGCATTGTTACAATGTTTTTAAAATGCATTTTGTAGGGAATTATTTGTTATTATATTTTAATTAAATCAACTGTTTCTATTATGTCTATAGAATTGATTATTTTGAAGCTTTAATTCTAAATAAATTTCAAAGTCCAGAACACAAAACATATATATTTATTCAGATGATTTGTGTATTTGAAGGTAAAGCTTGATTGTACCGACTTGTGGACATGTTTGTTTCATTTAAATAAAATCATTCTAGAAAGAATATATTTTGTATCGAATATAGACGTAAATATGCTTTATAAATCCACGCCTATGGATATGTTTATTCTCTCAGAAATATTCTTTAAAAATCCACGCCTATGGATATGATTATTCTCTCAGAAATATTCATTAAAAATCCACTCCTATGGATATGATTATTCTCTCAGAAATATTCCTTAAAAATCCACGCCTATGGATATGATTATTCTCTCAGAAATATTCCTTAAAAATCTACGCCTATAGCTGTGATAATACTAGAAGAAATAGTCTTTAGAAATTCACGCCTATAGCTGTGATAATTCCCTCAGAAATATTCTTTAGAAATCCACGCCTATAGCTGTGATAATTCTCTCAGAAATATGCTTTAGAAATCCACGCCTATAGCTGTGATAGCTGTGATAATCCTTGCAGAAATATGCTTTAAAAATCCGCGCCTATAGCTGTGATAATTCTCTCAGAAATATGCTTTAAAAATCCACCCCTATAGCTGTGATAATTCTCTCAGAAATATGCTTTAAAAATCCACGCCTATAGCTGTGATAATTCTCTCAGAAATATGCTTTAAAAATCCACGCCTATAGCTGTGATAACTCTCTCAGAAATATGCTTTAAAAATCCACGCCTATTGCTTTGATAATCCTTCTTTAAAAGTCCATGCATTAAGTTGTGATAATTCTCTCACAAATATTCTTTAGAAATCTACGCCTATATCTGTGATAATTTATATGGGGGCAATCAAAAATATTTATTTATAATTTTTGGTAAAGATCTACGCCAATATCTGTGATAATTCTCTCAGCGAATTCTTTAAAAATCTACGCGCTATTCTGTCATAATTCCGAAAATTTTCTTATATGAAATCTACGCCTATATCTGTGAATTTCAATTCTCTCAGAAATATTCTTTCATCCAAATCTACGCCTGTATTTGTTAACAAAAATACATGGACAGACGGACGGAAGACTCGACAGAAAGTGATTCTAAATATTCTTTAAAAATCTACGCCTATATCTGTGATAATTCTCTCAGAAATATTCTTTAGAAATCTACGCCTATATCTCTCTCAAAAATATTCTTTATCTCTCAAATCTCGCCTATATCTGTGATAATTTTCTCAGAAATATTCTTTAAAAATATTTGATAATTCTCTCATAAATATTCTTTAGAAATCCACACCTATGGCTGTGATAATTCTCTCAGAAATATTCTTTAGAAATCCACGCCTAAGGCTGTGATAATTCTCTCATAAATATTCTTTAGAAATCCACGCCTAAGGCTGTGATAATTCTCTCATAAATATTCTTTATAAATCCACGCCTAAGGCTGTGATAATTCTCTCATAAATATTCTTTAGAAATCCACGCCTAAGGCTGTGATAATTCTCTCAGAAATATTCTTTAGAAATCCACGCCTATATCTGTGATAATTCTCTCAGAAATATTCTTTAGAAATCTACGCCTATATCTGTGATAATTCTCTCAGAAATATTCTTTAGAAATCTACGCCTATATCTGTGATAATTCTCTCAGAAATATTCTTTAGAAATCTACGCCTATATCTGTGATAATTCTCTCATAAATATTCTTTAGAAATCCACGCCTATATCTGTGATAATTCTCTCATAAATATTCTTTAGAAATCCACGCCTAAAGCTGTGATAATTCTCTCAGAAATATTCTTTAGAAATCTACGCCTATATCTGTGATAATTCTCTCAGAAATGTTCTTTAGAAATCCACGCCTATAGCTGTGATAATTCTCTCAGAAATATTCTTTAGAAATCTACGCCTATATCTGTGATAATTCTCTCAGAAATATTCTTTAGAAATCTACGCCTATAGGCTGTGATAATTCTCTCATATCTGTGAAATATTCTTTAGAAATCTACGCCTATATCTGTGATAATTCTCTCAGAAATATTCTTTAGAAATCTACGCCTATATCTGTGATAATTCTCTCAGAAATATTCTTTAGAAATCTACGCCTATATCTGTGATAATTCTCTCAGAAATATTCTTTAGAAATCTACGCCTAT